TCTATATTATAACTATTTTTTTAAGAGTTAATACCGAAATTATCTTGTTAAGAAATTACAAAAATGCCCTTGAGAGGTAAAATAGTCCGAGTTGACCCTGAATGAGAAAGTACTTTGAGGATTCGTACTTAATTCGATTAAGTTCAGATTTGATTGTTAAGATCCTGACTTAGTGTAGAAAAATTCCTGATATTCCGTTTGTAAAATCTGAGAAGGCACTTGACTCGAAAATATCCGAGTTATGAGTAAATACCTGAAGAACAATTTATCGGGGGTATTCTTTTGTCAAAATTATTCGATTGGACTGAAATAAATGATAAGTTTGAATTTAAGTAATAAGATCACATGGAAGGAAATGATTGAAATACATTGGATCCGTAAAATAACCAAAATACCCTTGTAATGGAAATGACTCAAGAATATCACCAAGCCTAGGAATGAATGGACATCTTCAAGCTTTAAAATTAATGGGAAAACAATGAGCACCAAAATGACCAAACTGTCCTTATGGCATAGCCTGAGTAAATGTCTTAGATTAATTAAGAAATCCAAATAAACATGGATGTTGTACTGCTCTTAAAAGTTATGGAATGTAACTTAAGTTGATCAACCAACGCTAGTGTTATATCACTACTTGAATGGCATAGGTACCACTTGAATGCTTGTTCGTCTCCTCAAGTTTGGATCGATGATAAATCTGGAAGTAATCAGCTCAGCTAATCTCTAGAGCATATTCGGTATTAAGGAGTGGATATTTTTTTCGATAAATCAACCAAGAATTCCAAATTAAACTGAACGGAAATACAGTATGTATCCGAAATTCAGAAATGTCTTAATTACTCTAGAAAACTCCAAAGTAACTGGAATGGATTTGACTGCTAAATGAACTAAGTAACCTCAATGACTGAGGATTTAACAAGTGATTTGGATGAGTATGGGAATGCTAATGAACTTACATGATGTACTGTCCTTCGGGTCATGAACTATAAATCAAGCACTTCAGCAATTTATGATATCGTGGAAGCGTGGAAATTAAATAAAGAATATTAGAAGATTTATTCAACGATGATTCCGAAGATGATCTATGGATAAGAATTTTTGTTATTAAAGAGTAAATACCCTGGAAGGATAATGAATTGACCAGTCGACAAGTATAAGTTCTGGGAGTTGTTCGATAATCCGATCAATCGACATGGATTGAATCATTCGTTTATTCATTAACAAATCAAAATACATTCTACATAACTGATGATTCTGTCAGTTAATGAACTATTCCCATAGTGATTCTAACTTCTGAAATTCTATCGGTATATGAAAGATCCTTGTTTCTTCTGCCTGATAAGATTATCCTATACTTCTGAATAATATATGTAAACTCTGGTGTGTTCCCTAATCATATAAATATTTTATCTGATTTCCGACTTGAATTCTGTTCTGATACATGTGAATTCTGTTCTAATTTCTGATCTGGATTTTGTTCTAATATTTTTTCTGAATTCTGTTTTGATTTCTTATATCTTCATTTACTGACGGAAAAATGTTTTAATTGGGGGTATTGTTGAAGGAAGTATTTCTGCAGGTTCCTCGGCTTTGTTCTCAGGGCCTTACAGGTTGTGTGGGTTGGGTGTATGGTTTTGGGGAACCTACACAAACAGATTGTGAAAGGATGGGGGTATATATATATGTTTTAAAAGATCTGTATTTTTTACTGGTTTTACGGGAACACACTAGATAATCTATTCTGATCTCATGAACCTAGACGATCTGAAATATTTCCATATGAACTGAATACTATCTGTTACTACCTGAGATATCAATGGGATCTCAGCTCAGCCTAAAAATCTGTAGATATCTGAACCAATAAGGAAATATATGTTTATTTGTATCTGCACGTTCTTTAGCATCATCTGGTAGTTTTGTATTACTGAGCTTTTCGAAGCTCACTCTATTACTCACCATTGCAAGTTAAAAGAATTGTATCAGTGCATCTATCGACATCAGTAAGGGAGTTCATCCGGTATTATTTGCAGAGTATGGTACATGTGATTAGGGGGCATGTAATTGTATTTTGTTTTATATACGAGTTTGAAAATATGTTTTATTTCGAATATTAATAACTTTTTTTTACTCATAATTGATTTTATGAGCTTACAAGTTTTAATAAAAGTTTTAAATTTTCCGCTATTTTTACAGTGGGTCGCTCCAGTGGCCCTAATATGACTACCTGGATCGGATCGGGTTACCCACATCGGTCTGAGGGGGTTACAGTTATTATTTTTAAAACCGGTAAAAATTTACCGGAAACATTATTATTTCTACAGGAAATGTTATTATTGGGCGCTTTACCGGATTTGGTAATATATCCGGTAGAAAAAATAATGTTTTAAGTAGCGCTTTACCGGATATATTACCAAGCTCGGTAAAACGGTCAATAATGTTTTGGGTAGAAATAATAATGTTTTTGGTAATTTTTTACAGGTTTTGTTAACAAAATAACAAAACCGGTAACATCTTTCTTTAGGCGTATATTAAGGTCGCCGTACGGTAGAACTTTTCGATAAGATGTGATTCTTTTAAGGTATCACTTTGGGAACTCTAAACCCTATTTACACCAACCAGCTAATACCCAGTTTTCTGGCCATTTCTCTTCACTGAAGCAGTGAGCCGGTAAGTAGTTCCGGCCAGACTAAGCCCAATTTATCAACACCTAATCGAGCATTCAACCCAATCGATTATGCCTCCCAACCAACACAAGCACCAAGTTGTTAACCTCCTTGGGCAGCAGGCATGGCCGTCGACGATCTTGGTAGCAATCGATTGTCTCTCACTCGCACAAACAATTGCAACTAAACATTAGCAAACATATCAACGGAGCATCCGAAAGCAAATAAGGAAAGAAAATTGGTGAAGACAACGAAGATTTTGATTCCGACGAACTAAGCCATTTTTGGAGGATTTCAACGATGAAGATGACCATTTTGGTGGCAGCTACAACATACCTTGAAGACGGCCTCATATAACGACAAACGATGAAGATTGGAGAACTTTAAAGTTCAAAAAAAAGTTGAGGAGATTTTCATATATCTACAACGAACAATTGTGATTCTGGGAGATTTTCATAGACATGTAATCGAGAGATAAAAATGTTTGACCTATTAAATTTGGTTGAGTTTGACAACCATCGACAACGACAACTTGACTGTCAGAGGTAGTCAACAATGATTAATGATCGATTGAAACTCATTGATGTGATGCTCTAGAGAAAGGTAGATGTGTTATATTTGGGGATGTAAAGGAACGACAGGTTAATTTAAAGTTAAGGAAATGAATAACTGAAAATGTTAAGAAAAAATTCAATATTTTTGGTTGAGCGTAAATTAAAATGTTAATTTTTTAATATTTTCGATTGATAGTCGAAGATGTTACATTCTTTATAACATTTTCAACTATTTAATTGTTCCTTTTTCATAAACTTGAATTAGATCTATGGCAGAACTACACGCCCCACTTGAAAGATGAGAAATGAAATGAGAAATGGAATAAAAGAGTAAAAATTAGATTTAAATACCTTAATTAAAACGACAACATTTTGGGAGGGATTGATGGAGGTAAACGATGGATCCGACCCATATACATGGGGTCCACGTGTTTTTTGCTTATTTGGGTAACTACTATCCTGATGCGTCTTCTTTTGAAGTGTAATTCAATTTACTCTTAAATACCTTATTTAAATGTTATTTAAATGCAATTGCAGCTCTGATAGTTTCAATTGGATTAATTTAGTCCTTGGAATCGTTATTTAGATATTAATGTGATGTTTTTATGTTGTGAGAAACTTAATTGAGGGTCATGTTTGTGTCTTGGATTTCTCGTGTTTGTGAGAAAAAGGCTAGAAACTCAAATTTAATGTTGAGAAGCCTGAATTCGATAAATTAAGGCCAGTACACCTCGAACTCCAAACTATTTCATGTCTTTCACAATTATTATTTTTTTGTATGTCAAATGTGGTCAGACAACTTAATATTTAAGTAGTAATAAGGTAAATTATTGAATTGCCTATAATTAAGAATAATAAGTGGTAAAAAATGACTACGAAGGTAGCGAATCTTAAGGAAATATTATAAGATGTTAGTAATTACGTTATAAGTTGTAATAATATATTGAATTATCCTTTGACAGGTGAAATAACCAAAGTCTCCTTAGTCGTAATAATTGATAAAGAAAAGCACTAATTGCAAGAAAAACATTCTTAGGACCCAGATAATTAATCAAATGCTCTCTCATAAGCCGTAGAATGTCTGGCGTACTCTGTAGATGTGGATAATTATTAAAATGCTCTTAGGATGCTAAAATGACTAAATTGTACTTATGAGTTTAAATAAAAGAACTGATATAGAATAATGAACAGAATAACTGTCATGATTAAGGAAATGACTGTAATAACTCTACGAATGAATAAATGAATGAAATATCCTTTTTAGTATCAAATTACTAAATTACCCTCAAACCTTTAAGGGATTAAATCACGAGTTTTAAAATACCTTAGAGGCTAAAAGATAAAGTATTAATGATGTGAATAGAAGACTATACGCAAAGAAAATGTCTAGAAGATTCATGTGACTAGGGCACTAGGCAAAGGATGAACGGATCCATAGAGGAAAATTACTAAAATGCCCTTATATATATTTTAATACTTCCGTTTTTTTTTCTAACATTACCTATAATATGTACTGTATAGCAGATCTTGCAACCCATAATAAAGTGGTTATGGGTATAATTTACCCTATTATATATTGATAAAAGAAAACATTATAGGTAAAACTATATTTATAAAGTTGTACTCAACGAGTGATCTTATGAGGAGATAAAAGACTTAACTTCACTAATCTTGTTTAAAAAAATAAAATGGAACATAGACTAACAATACCCAACCCAATTATCCTACTCAACCCATAACAATATTACCCATTTCCATAAACTCAAAACAAAACTCGAATTGACTATGTCCCCAACAAGTTTTTAAGTAAAAGAATATATAACAATGATCACCCTTGGAGAATCGATGTGACTTGGCAAACCAAGCTGCCTAAACATTTACATTTGGTCTTCAAGACCTAATAATATGAGGTACATGGAATAGCAAAAAAATGAGCACCCGAATCAACTTAAAAAGGAACTGGATGAAGAAAATGGGACAAAGAAATAGACCAAAAATCATACACTAACATTTTCCAGTTCTGTGCCTCTTATAAGCCTGATCAGACTCCTCTGTGCAGCTGCGAACTCCAGTTTGTGGCATCGCTTGATTGCTTACATATTGGATTTCTTTCTACTAAATGACAGGTGAAAAAGACAAGTTACACAAATGAAGCAAATAGTTTTGACTCATGTCCAAGCATTCACCAAACTGGGAGGGGAATAGTTGAAGAGTGAAACAGAAAAACAACTTAGGTAATACTTAATCCAGCCGATTGTTTGTTAATAACTGAAATGGATTATAACTAAACCTTAGAATCAGATGGCAGTGGCACAGAAGTCACTCCAGTAGTTAGTCGTTTACCACCATCAATTTTCACAGAGATGCTTGCCTGTGACATATCCACTCCTGAAGACTGTAGAGCCTGGGTCAAAGAAGTCAATATCCTGTAGAAAACAAAAACTAATCTTAAATCGTGTGTATAAAACCTATCATGAAAGGCCATATCATAAATGATATCATTAAACAGTTGATTTATGTCTCAGATTGTTAACTCATCATATCAGGCAAAACCTTAAGAAATACATAGCAGTTGCTCACCCTTGAGGGTAAGCATTTGAGAAGCCTACAGATTCATCTCTGAGAGTCAAGTCTTCCTGTTCAAGAGCTGAATTGTTCGGAACAACACTCTCAGTCAGACAGTCTCTACTTTGCCATGACTGAAACTGGGGTTGGTGTACCATGTTCTCAGAATCAGAAACAGACTCATGAAAAGCAATGCTACCTCTTCCATGAGTAGCAATTGTGTTAGATTGTGTCTGCGTGTTAACCATAGAATTAGTACATGCAGGGGGATGATCCAGTGCTTCAAAAGCTGAAACATCACCCAAGTCAGATTCAATTGAATAATTCTGCATGTTCGCAACCATTGACGGAATGAAACCATCTTTCTCACAACTAGATCCATTCTTCATAGTTTGAGAATGATCAATAAAATTCTCTGCAACCCCATGATGATTTCTCTATTAAAAAGAAATAAAATAAAATCAGTTTGCTTCCTCTTGAATTATGGAAAGTAATGTGAACAAAAATATTATTTCAAGAAGGCTCCAATTGTAACTCATAAACATAAAAGTTCAAAGCAAAGAGAAATAATATACACCCTATTGCCATATATTTTCTGTTGCCCAAAACATAGGGTGCATTCATCAATTGTCCATCGAAAACTACTATTTAGTTATTCATGGCAACAATTATCTATAAAACAAATTCAAAATATGCACTAAAACTTCAACATTCAGACTTCAGTATTTTAAATCTTCAATAGGTAAGACTCTCAACCAGTAACATATCTAGAATTCTAGATAAAAGCAGAAATATGAAGCACAAAAAAGATTACCCATGGAATCATTTTTGTTGGCTCCTGGCTCCACCCTTGGTACGATCCCTCATATATTTGCAACTTTTCCTGTAAAAACTGAATGTACTCTATGACCTACACATTCAGTAGGTTGTATTCAAAATTCATCAAGGAACTAGAAATGATTACATTTCTGCATGTATAGAAAAAGCATCATTGAATGGTGACCGCTAACAGAAAAGATGCCTTGTCTCTCTTTTGATCATTTTGAGGTATAATATCTCTCAAAGTCTGGTACCTGACACCATAGGGAAAAAAAAGAGTTCTTCAAATATATTCAGAATCTATTTTGAGATACACCAAGCTGCCCCTAAGAAAATGGCTTATTGTGCAACTTTAGTTGACAAAAGAATCACTAGAAGGCTTCAATTATGTTAAAGTAATCTAACATAAAACCAATGGCATATAAGCAAACCATATGAGCCAATACCACTCAACACAATTGTTTGATATGTCGCTACATTTAGGACTGTAAATGAGACGAGATAGATCGCGAGCTATTCGAGATTAATTCGGTCAAAGCTCGGTCAACTCATAAATCGAATAGACTTGACTCAAGCTCAAACTCGAATTCTTAACAACACTGGATACCCGACTCTAAACACTCACGAGCTATTCGAAAAAATAATATATTAAATTATTAGATTTTCTAAATTTAATTATTACACTTTGCTCAGCAGTACTAGAACTCACTCGACTCATTTACAGCCCTAGTGACGTTAACTGTATTATTACAACCAAAGCCCTCTAATTGAAACACTTTGAATTTCTCGCATCCATAATCAATACATCTGAACATTTTCAATTCTGGAAATTCATTCTATACTTGTTTACAAAATCAAACCCCAATGGGAAAGGAAATAAACAAGAATCATTAGTTTTTTTTTAAATGGAAAATTTAAAGTTCATACCTTTCATTAATCTTACTTCTTCTACGCTGCTCAGTCTCAGAATGCTTAGACAGATTAGTGTTCGTCTTTTGCTCATTTCCCTTCCCTTCTATTTTCACTGTTTACCCTATAAAAAATAACATTTAATTAAAGCATAATAATAGTCACTGAATTTCTTTAAAACACACACACACGCACACACGCACACACCTTTATCTTCGTAACCATCATCGTCTTCCTCTTCTTGATGAAGCTGCGCCGTTGCCAAGGATTTCACCATTTCGTTTTTGATTTTAAAGTACAAATAATTTCTAAGAGTAGTGCGAACGAGTCTAGCGGGTTTGTTTTTGCAGGGAAAGAGGGGGAATTTTTGCCCTAAAAAAAGGAAGGAAGGAATATTTTAACATTTTTGGATTTGATTGCTTTATCGATTTATATATTTTCATCTCAAAATTATTGGTTCCATTTTTAAACTTAGGGTAAATTATATTTATAGTCACTAAATTTTAAAAGTACATTCATTTTGGTCATTAAATTTTCAAAGAGATGCTTTAAAATCATCAAACATTTAATCCACTTTCATTATGATTATTTTTGTTAGTTTTCATTAAAAAATATTGATGTTAAAGCAAAATTTCTGATGAACGGAATAATCACTAATAAATCACAACGATACAAAGGATTCATTTAGCCAGAAGGTTAATATAATTTGGTGTCAAATTGATCTAACGTTTGATAGGGACAAATCAAAATATTTTTTTGTTGCCCTCCAATTTTCAATGTTTCATTTTGCCTAATCTAGATTAACCCGCGTCACACACCTGACTTTGATTAATAGTGAAATCAAAATATATAAACTTTTAGTTTTGACTATGATTTACTTAGATAAGGAGATCAAAAGATTTTCCAACAAGTTTAAACCAAATAAAAGAAGAAGAAGAAGAAGAGTTGTTTGGTTATCTTTTCAATTGGAAAAACCATTTAGCGGTGATAGATGACGATGATCCAATAAAAATTAAAAATTAAAACTTTTTGATCTATCACTATTAATCATCAGATCAACTTGAAATTAAACAATATTATTCTTTTAGTCAAACGAAGACTTTTAACGGTTGGAAATGACCAATGATTACCCTGTTCATCAAAAAAAATTCCATGTCAACGTTATCTAACCCTGGCAAATGATGGCGATTACACCGAAAAATCACCTTTTAGAACTTTAATTACATGTCAGACAACCTTTCATCTTTATTTACCGATCTAACACCATTTGCAGGAAGGCGCGACCCATGCACCGCGCCTTACGCTGATGTGGCATCACGTGGGGTAAGGCGCGTCACATGCACCACGCCTTGTGGAACGAGTAAAAAAATGGGTGCTATTTTTGTCATTAGTTTTACAATGGTGTCTAATATATAATTAATTTATATTAGGGTGATATTTGTGTAAAAACGTCAACTCTATTTATTTATTTTTTGTGTGTGAAAAAAAAACCTTTCTACATTAAAATCTTTAAATATTCTTTTGTAAATTATTTTATAACTTGACAAATTTTGATTTTTGCATGAAATTACACAATACGTATAATCTAGTATAGGAAAACTTTGAGGGTAAGTATTTTAAAATATGAATAATTTTATAAAAGTTTTATAACTAGTATTTCTTTTACAAAATGTTGATGATGACATTGATAATACATATTTTATAATTTAAAAAATTATAAATTTCATATATTTTTAAAAAATTTATTGATTTTTAAAACTAATTGTTTAAAAATATAAAAAATATTAAAATAAATTTTTAATTACAATTGACTTTTGCAATAAAACTCACTCTACTTTTGGTTTTTCTGTGTGCGCGTGGGCAACTATATTCAGCAGAAAAGAATTGAAAAAGAAAGGAGCTCATACGCGGGAGAAAATGATGAGACAAAACAGATTTTATGAAGCTTGAGCATAAAAGATCAACTTTTTGATCAGAGGTTTATTCGTAGTACAATTAAGTTGATATTTAGATAACAGTTAGACGATTTTGAGTTATTGACTTTGTATGATCGAACTTTCATTTGATTCCTGTAGCTTTCCACACATACTACTGTTTAACAATCATAAACTTGAGTTTAGGTATTGAGAATGAAGTATTTTAAAATTAATTATTTAAAAATATAAAAAAATATTAAAATAATTTTTTAATTACAATTGAGGGATCAAATGAATTATTATTCATTAATTATTATTTTTAACAACAGTTAATAATGTTTATTCATTTTTAATAAAATTAGAATTTAATATTTTTTTAATATTTTTTAAAATTAATATTAGAAAGAATATTTTAAATTAAGAAGTGATATTTTTTAGCTTTATATTCTATTTTTATTGAATTTTATTCACTTTTAATTCTTTTTTATTGCATTTTTATTGATTTTTAAAAATAGTGAATAATAATTCATTTGATCTCTCAATTATAATTAAAAATTTATTTTTATATTTTTATATTTTTAAATAATTAATTTTAAAAGTCAATAAATATTATTAACTGTTATTAAAAATAATATCACATAAGAATAAATAAATAAAGTTGGCATTTTTACACAAATATCACCCATGGGTCGCGCCTTCCTGCAAAAGGTGTTAGATCAGTAAATAAAGATGAAACGATGTCTGACAGGTAATTAAAGTTCTAAAAGATGATTTTTCGGTGTAATCGCCGCAAATGATAGTGGTCGTGGCAAAAGTAAATTAAAAATGTAATAATTGAAATAAAAATTTTAAAAGTTTAATTATTAAAATGAAATGTAATATTTTTTTCTTTAAAAATTTTTAAAAGTTCGATAATTATATAATTTATTATAAAATTTATACAAACTAATATTATCGTTCAAAATGATGAGGAGTAATATGTGCGTTGATGGTGACAAAGGTCATATTTTTTTCTTTCAAGATAAGTATATAAATTATCACTAAATTATGTTAAATTAATCTTTATTTAATTTTTAAAATGAAATAATTATTAAATTTATTAAACTATTACAAAATAATTATCGCAGTTTATAAAAAGTAATTTTTTTTGGTAAATCTAAGGAGCATATTCTAATAGTTTAATAATCATTTTATAATAATTTAATAAATTTATTAATCATTTTATAATTTCTGAAATTTTAATGATAAAAAATTATTTTAATATTATTTAAAAATCAGATGAGCCTAAAGTGAGTAATACACATTGACGTACACCACTAATGATGTGCATAGATATGCACCACTAATATAAAAATATGATAAAATTCATAAGTAGTCATTAAAATAATTAAAATGATTTCATTTATTATTAAATTTTTAAAAGTTATAAAATAGACATTAAACTTTAAGTTTTATTAAAAAAATATAATAACCGTAAAATATTGTTAAGGGGGTGAAGTGTCATGCTAAATTAATAAGAAATATTTTATTTGGCCCTTCAATTATAACTAAAATTTTATTTTTAATAGTTTTTTCAATATTATTAAGTAATAATTTCAAAAAAGAAATTAGAAAATTTAGAATTTTTTAAAAAATATATGAAAATAATTTATTTTTAAAAATTAAAAATTATATTTTTTTTAAAATTTATCAAATTATTTTATAACTAATTATTTATTAATCGTGATTATATTTGTAAAATTAAAAATTCATAATTTTCGAGATCCAAAAAATTGAATTATCAAACAACATAATTATATTTTTTATTAAACGATATGATTCAAACACTTGACTTTTATTTAAGAAGTTTAAACACAATTTTAAAAATATATATTTAGAAAATTATAGTATCACATTAATAATAAAAATACATCCAAACTTAAATAAAAAAATCGAAACAATTCTTAACTTTTAATAATGTATCAAGTAATTTATATAATATAAATTCAATATTTATAATATGACACTAAAAATAATATTTAATTTATTTATATCCATTTTATTTTTCATTCAATGAACATAATAAAATTTATTTTTTAATTATAAAATAAAATTTTAGTTACAATTAAAGTATCAAATAAGATATTTTCTACTAATTTAATATGTTACATCACATCTTTAATGATAGATAATAATATTGTGCCCATTTTGTAATAAAATCTAAAGATTGATGTATATTATATAATTTTTTAAAAATTTAGTATTTAAAAATCATTTTGATATAATCTAATATCTATTTATGAATTTTACCTTATCCAATTAGTGGTAAATATCAATATTTAACATCTATTCTGGAATTTTTCTTAAAAGTCATTTGTGTACTTTTTTCTTCTTCTTTAAGATACCATTTATTCTTTTGTTTTATGTGTTTTTTTTAAGTTTAGTGGAAAACAAGCGTTAAAAGTTGTACCATTTACTCATTTTAGACTATTAAAGTATTTTTCATTCAATATAGGTGTCTAAAGTATATTTTGTTCAATGTATATGTTTGGTTTGTCACGGTTGTTAGAAAATTGTTACATGAAACACGTCGTGTTTATATATATTTTTTTTAAATTTTATTTTTTAAAAAGTTTAAAAAATATTCATTTTCAAAAAAACTTTTTTTAAAAATATATAAAAATCTAAACTCTTTATATTTTTTTGATTAAGCTAAAGATGATTATAAAGTAGTATATGTTGTAAGTATTCTCAACCATTTGACAATAAACATTTAATTACCCCTGCAGTCATTGATGCTCGTATATATGACCTCTAAAAATAACAATAATTCCTTTAAAGGTAAAATACATTGTTCCTTACTAAACTATACTATATCTCCTATTTTACTTAATGTATTTTTAATTTTTCTAATTTACTCATTTTATCACTCTAAATTATTTTATTCTTAAGAAACTCAGAAGGGCAGAAAACACTCAAAAAGGCAACAATAACAATGAATATTATTGAAAAATTTTTCCCACACCCTTTACATGAACCAATACACTATTTATACAATTGTGTAGTCTGTTAATCCTAACAAACTAGCAACTGACTCAACCGTCTCAACATCACGTGCACGTCCAAAATAATAGGCTATACCAGAATAATCTAATATTCCCTACTCTTCTTTGTCTTCTTCTTCAAATAAAAGATCCATACACCACACCAATTTTACTTCGAAAATCTTCAAATGCAGCCTTCGAAAGAGGTTTAGTGAAACCATCTGCAAGCTGATGCGTTGCAGAGACATAGTTCACCCTCATTTGCCCAGAAGCAACATTCTCCCGAATAAAGTGAACGTCCAAGTCGATATGCTTTGACTGAGTACGATAAACAGGATTGGCACTCAATGCCACAACACCCGTATTATCGCACCATATAACCGGTTCCTGTCGTGGGGGTACTCCGAGGTCAACAAGTAAGGCACTCACCCAGGTAAC